GTAGGAAGTGATATCTCCCTGAGACTCTATACTCTTACATTTTTGTTTGTTTCGACGAAATGAACGTGAATCTCAATCGGTAACGAAAGAAAGGTGCAACTTGAGAAGGGAGAGGAGAATTTAAAAGCCAGTAGTAGGCGAGGCAAGAATTTCGCGTAACCTTGACGGTGGTTTAAACGAGAATCGAGCGTTCGCACACATGTAATCGAACAGCGACGAGCCGCGCAGCGGTCGAGAGAACGAGAGAGCGAAAGAGAGGGAAAGAGGAGGGACGGGGGAGAGTGAGAAAGGAAGAGAAAGAGAGTGAAAAAGTCGCTGGAAATTAAATAACCGTTTCCCGTATCAGCTGTTATCTATTTAGGCTTGCTCAGGCTATCGCGTGTTTGCCCGGGAGCACGGAGAGTTGCGTTACGTGCTCTCGCTCCGGTGTGTTGTTCGAAGAGAAACGGAATCCGTCGCCATACGCACAACTGACGACCACCACGTGTCGGACAAATGCCGAAGAGCATTTAAATTCACTAAGCCTGTTCTCTTCTTGTGGACAACAGTGTGTTCCGGCCGGCCGGCCGGCCGGTTTGTTTGTACAAGTCGCAGAAGCTATCTCTAATTTACGAGGAAAAACCGCCGGCGATATGTTGCGTACCAGACTCTGGATAAGTCCCTTCCGACGTAGTGTGAGGAGCCTGGTGAATGGAATTTTTTCGGACAGCAAGCGATAAAGCCCATTGTTTCCCTGTTCAACGTCCTGACGTGCGGTGTACGGAATGAGTCAGAAGTGTCACCTTGTGTCTTTCATCCGAAAGATCCTTTCACAAAAAACGAAAGGATACGGGACAGTGGCTTTAAAAGTTACTTCTTTGAAAAGGAAATCTCATCTCTCGAATTTCCGGCGATTCAGAAAATCCCAAGTTAAAGGGATTTCCAAGTCTCGAAACTACGCGGTCATAGAGCACATTTTTCGCTACAAAGACTAGACTCTGCATAGTTTGATATCTGACACTCGGCATGATTATCGTCTTAGGTTTCATGTCACACGATAGTCCGCAGAAGTCGCGGTGTATTATAATTTTTGCAAAAGGATCGGCTCGTCGCGATTTATCGCGGCGAGAATGCAAATAGAACAACAAGTCAACAGAAAGAGTCGACGGGCAGATGGAGACGTCGAAATACTTATCAGTAAATCGCAAATTCTTTACAGAAACGATTTAAAAATGGTAATTTCCTAACTGCGAGCATATATAATTTAAGAAAATTTTAAAACCTCATGTCTCAATGTTATATTTAGAACTGTCAGAAATAAAATCTTTGTTGCTTTCGTCATATTGTGATGAATTTTTGTCCACGCCGAGAAACACGCAATTTTACGTTACAAGGTCAATAATACTACGATATCGCCTTCCTTTTGAAAGATCCTCGAAAGCAAAATTGTATAGTACGATACGTCAATATCGTGCATAAGTTTTTGCGACTAACAACACAATAGGTCGCAAAAAGTGGCATCGATGATTCACAAAAATAATGATCGGATCGAAGTCGCGTCGGTGGAGATACGCTACTGACGCTGGTGATGACGAGTTATCTGGCTTGCCACCAATAGAGGAGCGCTTGAACAAGATATCCTTGTATTCTCGTAAAACGGAGGAGCAAACGCTGATGTAATTCTCACGTTTCGGCGAAGTGCGCCCGATCAGAGCGAATTTGTAAGACGCTAAAGTATAATATAATAACTCTATCAAAAATAATTTTAACATAAAAATAATAAAGTTCAAATACTTTTTTGAAAGCAACAATAATTTTCACGAATTATTACATAAGTTATGATTCACAAAAATAAATTAATGGCGAAGAAAGTAATTAAATGAGATTTTTTCTCTTAAAATATGAGAGAAGAGATTACATCTGCAATTTGTGTGAGATCCGCTTTAAACATAAATTAAATTCAAAGCTAATTTAGATAGGAGCGAAAGACATATATTTGCGTATTGGAAATATAAATAAATGCCTGTCGCAACATCTCGCCTGTATATTATAAATACGTATATTTATTACACACATCAACTTGTATAATAAATGTTGCACACATTTCCAAAACTCGCGCCGATGTCTCACTTCATTTTGATCCCGTCAGATAAAATTCATTTAAAATTCAGAGATCCATTCACAAGTCCCAGAAAAACTGTTCTTTGACCTTTTTGACATTATATCGGCGCAGAACGTCGCGAGCAGAGCCCTCGTCGTCATCAATATAATTAACGCTCGCGTCGGGGAAATCGTAGACGGTATTTAAACGGTTATTCCAATGAGAGAATATCAATGCACGATTAATTGCTACGTCTGGCGGATGGCGATAACGATTGAATCCGCCGATATCTGATCACACGCGAGGATCTCCGCGAAAACGTGCGAGACGAACGCGTCTAGGGAAGATATTCAACTTTCGAGGCCGCAAAGAAATCGTGCGACGTCAGAGAACGATAGACAGAAAGAGAGACAGAGAGAGAGACGACGAGAGAGAAGGACGATCGTCATCCCATTATAGCCGAAAGACCGCCTGGCACGGCCCAAAATAGTTCACGTGGAGCCACGTCATCGTCGATTGGACTATCTCGCATTGAAAATTGTGCTCCCGAACAAGCTATTGGTTCATTCGTCTATCTAATATAATTCGACGAGGTACTCCGTTGCAATTTTGCGCGACGAGCATGTGCTCGGATCGATCGGTGCATTTAATCTATAATCTGACCGCCACGGTGATGTGGTTCGCTTGAGACTATTATTGAAGTAGAAAGATATCGCGATCAAAACATGGATATTTAATAAAATCCGCATCTTTAATTCAAGTGTACTTCAAGACCGGTTTAGAAGTCTAGGATACTTTTTTTTTCTTTGAAAGATAAAGCAGCCTCTCCCAAATTTTCAAGATCCTTGTTAGAGATACCGAAAAAAAATATATATGAAAAATTACGCTTTTTGTAATTCGTAAGATAATTCAGAATGGCTGAATCTTTAATAGTAAGAGATTTATAACTTTATTTTCTTACTTTATTTTGTAGATCAAAAATGTAATAGCTTTCGTAAATTTTTTTATTTTTATCTTGTAAAAAATATTAATTAAAATTTAAAATGTTATTTTTCGAAAATATTTAAATTAGATCCTTAGATTGTTCTTCAAGCTTTCACAAAAGAATAAGTATAATTTAGTTTAAGCCTATATCTTTATTAAATTAAATAATTTATTAAATTTTTACGAAATATTGGATCAATTTATGAATTTTCTCGTGAATTTCAGAAATATATTTTAATAAGTTGAAAAGTAAATCATGATTAGTAATGCTTTTTCGACTATTCAGATATACATATATACGACAAGGGTCAACGTTCGTAAAAATAAATATCAAGCTTTCTCTTGTTAAACACAAATCTTTTCCGCAAAACAAAATTAAAGAACTTCAAATATTGTGGTTTTGCCAAGGAGACTCGTGCAAGAAATAGCAATACCAATTCTACATCAGGAAAACAAATTCGACTCTCGCCGATTATACACGTGTTTTGAATTTCTTCCATAAAAGTTTCATGGTATCAATCTCAGAGATCGACATCGACGTTTAAACGATAGATGGAAAGCCAATGGCCAAGTTTTATATAAATTAGGAATATATTTTTTTATAAAATATTTGTCACTTATCTTAACACTTATCTTAACACTTATAATAAGAAAAAGATAATTTTATTTTTCTTCTAATTAAAAATTAATACGAAAAAATTTGCTATTTTTACAAAATAGAAATTTGAAGAAAATGACTTTTGTTAATATCCTACTTGATTAAAATATGAACTTTTTTCGTTGTATTGCGAATCGTAGAAAAACAAATAATAATTCTAAACCTTTCTAATATCATCTAATTATAATTCGCTTAAATTTCTGACAACAAAAATATTAGTTAAAGATTAACTTCAGAGGCAGGAGAAAAAGAGAGAAAGTCAATTATATTTTCATCTTAAACTTAACGATTATGGTTTAGGAGAACTGGTTTACGAGAAGTCGCCACGTCACTTTAAACATCGTACTACCTCGGCGATCTACGTCGGGGAGTATCTTTGTATCCGTATACCTACATCTACATACCTAACGCCTTTGGATCTACGAGAGACGGTCGTGTTCGCAATATCGCCGATCGTCACAGCCCAGATACATATATGGATCTACAGATCGCGATACAGGCCGATCGCGAGCGCGAGATTCTATTTGCGCCGGTCGTTACTCTACATTCTGCACGTACGACGGGGCAATGAAATCGCGCCCGATACCGATCGCTCCGTAGAAATCACGTCCCACATCGCGGAAATCGCCGCTCCACCTCGATCCCTCGGCGCTTTAGCAAAACGTCCGTTTGGAGAATTATGCAACGAGAGCCGGCAACGAGCACGCGCGAATAGCGGTATCGTGCGTGTGCCTTGTTCGTTCGCACATGTTCGCGGAGTCCGACCGATTTTTGTCCGTATAATCGCATTAGCGGGTTAAGCAGAACGAGAAACCACGGCACTCTCGAAATCGACGCGAATGAGCACTACTTACACTACGGTCATTAACAAGATGTACAAGAGACCGCCTCTTTTATTTTTCATGTATAAACGAGGTCAAACGGGCGATCCTGCTGCGCCGCTCGTCGCCGGATTGATATTTGAAAATTGTCAACTTATATTGTTGCACGATTGTCTCCATTTACAGATAATTGGCTTGTTGCAGAGACTTTTAACAGTTTCGTGATAAGATAAAGTCACGATTTGCGTCTATATGGGTCAAAAAGTTAACACGCAATTCGTAACTGCCACATCGCTGCACAAAATATTGATTTGTTCGAGAAGACATGTTCGAAGCGGTAATGAACGACAGGAGTCCCCCCCCTCTCTCTCTCTCTCTCTCTCTCTCTCTCCCTCTCTCACTCGATATCGTACTAATTTATCATACTAAGATTTTTTTCTTTCATGCTCTCACTTACCCATAGATCGTCGAGAGTGATGGAGTTGTCGGTATAGAAAACTAGGACTTCGGCTGTGAGTGGCGAGGTTTCGCGCAGCTTCGACGCCAACAGTAAACAGGCGGTGCCGAGCAGCTGCAACTGCGACTTCCTGATCGGGCAGATCGAGAGGAACCTGTCGACGTAGTTCATCGACAGGGGAAAGACCTCGTCCTGGCACTTCTGTTCCTCGCATACCTGCAACACAGGACGATGCAATACGACGTTATGTACCGACGTAACATACAAAGTCGCGTGATAACGCAACGACGAGAGAGATCGTTTCAAGGCCGGACGATCGGGGGAGAGTCGCCGCGATAACGTCCGGATACGCAACTCGCGATGCAAATTTAGCTCGCCAGCAAGTCGCGAGCGTTTGCGTTACACGTCGGTGTGTAGGTATCTTGTAAAAAATATCGAGCGCGAAGCGAGTGGTGGTGGATCACAAGTGGATTAATAACAGGCCAAAATCTCCCCTCGCAATGTCGTGAACGTGACTTCAGACAGGATAAATCGTAACCGAAGCTCTTACATTTTCAAGAGACTCTGAAGATTTCATTTTTTTTTTTTAAATATTTTTCAATGTTCACAGGGTTCATGGTGGAGACGCGTTTGAGAAAAAGTGTAGAAAAAAATGATTTTTCGCACGACAATCGTAAACCTAGGCGTAGGCACGCATGAGTATCACACCGGATTTCCTTCAATCGTATTTTAACAAGTACGGTCGCGACACCGCAGGTCGGGGAACTTTTCGACTTTGGGATTTCCTCCCTCGGATAAATTTCACCGTAGAAACGCTCTCGTTAAAAGAAAAAGGAGTACTAGTAGAACAAAGCGTATCTTATCGCGGAAAAAGGGATTAACTACCTGTCGTAAAGATAGCTAATTGCATTTCACCATAATTGAATTTCAACGCCAACAAATTCATTCGGGATTTTCGTGGCTCTTCGGTGAACCTCCCTTTCCACTCGATACGGGTAAATTAAAAACAGAAGAATTTCCGGTATCTTATCGATGATTTATCGCGTGCATCAACGGCGCAACGAAATGAGTCGCATTTTTGTTTTGTTATCGCGCGTTTATTACTGCATATTTATTATTACAGCGTGTTTACATAAATCGCGGCGCCGTCGGACTCCGGAGCGCCTTTGAAGTTTCGGGGACCGTTGAATTTGCGGTAGGATCGCGAATTAACTTCGACCGGGCGCCTTGGGGTGCCGAGCCGAGTGATCGTGCCTTGTCGAGCCGCGTGAGAGGAACTTATTGAGCGTGACCAACGATCGCCAGCCAGCCAACCAGCTAGCCAGCCCTCGCTGTTTGCACGCACGCACGCACGCATGCAAGCATGCACGCACGCACGTACGCACGCACGCATGCATATATACGCACGCACACTTTCGTAATTATCCCGCTGCCGCCGCCACCAATTAGCAACGGGTCTAACGAAGTAATCGCACTACATCACATTGACGAAAATCCCATGTGAGATTAGTTTTGCCCAAAGAAAAATAGAAAAGAAATAAAATTGAACGTGGAAGTTTCGGCGAGATCGTTTCTATTAGAAACAATCGCCCGCCGAAACTTTTCCATGTCTATTCTTTTTTTGCAATTGGCCAATATTAATTATCTTGAGACACGAAGGAGTAAACACAGTCTCCAACAGCGTTCAACGAAATCGTTTTTTGAAAGATTATCGTGCACCTGTTCAAACATCTACGAAAACCGAGCTCCTAAATTAGGAGCAAAAGGAGAAAACACAAAATGCATGAGTGACGGAATAAAGTCGCAAGTCATCAAGAAAAGGCATTCCTATAATTCTTTGGTGCACATTATATTATTTTAACATACTATTTTCTAATAATATTAATACGGAATAATAATACTATATTTTTAACAATAAAGAACATATGTATCTTTTTAATGTAACAAAATACAAAATTGTAACGTGATATTTTTTTGTTATTTATATCATCTCATAATTGATATATTGTATTATAATATTATATTACATATTATTATTATAGTATTATTATATTATAATACATATACATATATTGCTATATTATAACTGGCATATGATATCATAATTGTGAAATAATATTTTTAATATTTTAAATCACATTTTTTTTATTCAAAATATTTGTGCAATATGATGCTTAAGATCCGCGAAAAGTATTCGTTTACAATGCTGATCGGATGTAACGATTTCAAGGTTCTCGGCGATATGGCTTTTGATCGAAAAATCGTAATGGATATATTTCAAATTCTTTTCTTTTAGGATGAGTCGTTTTAGAACTTTGTTACTCTTATCTGGCTCTATCAAGCTCGCCAATCTCTCTTATAAGTTCGGCGCCAATTAAGCAGAATTGCCGCCGATAAAGCCGACCGCGACCGGTATTACGTCTCGTATGCATCGATAATAATCAGGCAAGGTCTATCCGAGATATTATTCTTGAGAGAAGCATGCACAAGGAATCCAGAATTGGGAAGGAAGTTTGAAATACCAGTATAAATCCAGTGTCCAGTGTCCGCGACGCGGTTTCGCGATTCGGTAATTCAACACTTTCGCTATCAGCAACATTTGCACGTTCATATACGAGGTGATGTGTAACAAATTAATCGAGGATGCAAGCGCAGAAAAAATATCTCATCCTGTGTTTTTAAAAACTTGTAAACCTAATCAAGTAGTATCAAATAACAATTGATTGCGTATATATCTCTAGCAATTGCCAAAATTTAAAAAAATCATTGAATTTAAAGTTATCAAAATCATCGAAAGATTATACCATCCGTCTCTGTAAAAATTAAATTATTTATTTCACAGGTTATCTTATTAAATTCAATATTACTCGGTTAATATTATTCAACAAAAATGATAATTCTACTTTTGACAATTTTGAATAAAAGTAACAGCATTTAATCCATGCGTTTGAAATAAAGTTTGCAGATAATGAAATTGTTTAAAGTTATCACCAAGAAATGATCGCTTCAAATTTAATTTCTGCTAAGATTGCTAAGGGGAAAAAGGTGAACTTGAGACATCTTGTATAGGATTGTGATTAAGGAGCCGCTTTTAAAATCGCTTTTAAAAATCAAATTCCAGCGCCCATCCATGTGACGACCTGTCATTCGCGTTGGCTGGATCGACGAGCGCAATGTCGAAGAATTCGACGAGCGCAATGCGGACTTGGCATGCGTGCTGTGACATGATGTACACACCACATACGCATACATAAACAACACACACACACACACACACACACACACACACACACAACAAAATGATTATGTGTGCCGGACCCGGGCGACTCGCTTTCGTCGTGAAACAACACCGTCGAGGTCATCGCGCGAATTCAGTTATTGCGATTAAATGTCTGGAGCGCAGGAGCAATTAAATGCTCGAAGAAAAGAACGATCTCGATAGAACGAAACATGGAACTATCGAAGTTCCATCGTTTTAAGTCCATTATATCGCACAGATTAAAAAATTTATTGCATTTACAATTTAGTAAACCAAAGGATTATTGTATTTACATTTGTATTATATGCTATATATGTATGTATATTGTAATGGTATTATTATATTATGATTATTTCTATAAGATTATTATTAAACGCGAAATGTTCTTTTTGCGGCGTACTAAAAAAAAATTAAAATTCTTTCGATTGGTCGGTCAAAATTATAGCAGCTTTTAATTAATGCTATTGCTAAGTTAATGCCTGAGAGCAGGCATCGGCGAACACTTCTGCTTGTACTTGGATAATGCATAGTGATTAATCGAGTGATAGACGAGGACACAAACATAAGGAAAATAGATAACGTGTTCGGCGGCACTTAAGAAGTCAGCTTGGTTTATAGAGTATTGGTCGTACCAAAAGATGCTTCTTGCGTCGAGGACGAGAAGAAAAGAAAACAATTTGGGCCTTTGTGTCGGGCAGAAAAAGCGGGCGCGTATCGAGCAGTGCACGCTATCGGAGCGTGAGCTCCGTGCGATATACTCATATCGTTTCAACTCCAATTTAAACGAGAGCGACGCAAGGAATGTCATGTAAAACAATGCCGAACGAAAGAACAAAACAAGTTCGGTCCTGTCCGGAAATGAAGGAGCCATATCCGACGAAGATTAAAGATCAAAGACGGTGAAAAGGGGATGAAATTAATTCGACTTTTCAGTGATTTGTCTGACAAAATAAATTTTTTTGGTTTCTGTTTTTGACGATGCCACGTGTATAATGCTATTGTTTTAAGTATCTCATGCTTAAACTGTGAGTTGATTTATTCTGTCCCGTTCAAGGCGAGTCACGAAATCATTATCGAGGGGTTGTCTAATCTTAACTTTCTAAGAATATACTTAATTCAGATGAGCCTAATTGAACTAGACGCAAATGACCTGCGATAACTTGCGAACCGTGATATTGCAATATCGTTATCGTAAAAAAGAGAAATGGTAAAGGACACAGACAAGACACATCTTGCCCTCCAGCATTCTGCATCTCGTTCAATTGTGAATGCTTGAAATGATTGTTTAATCACGAGATTCTTCTTGGAATTTTTTGGAGATTGATAATCACGTAGATCGGCTACCGATTCTAGCTCTTTAATCGGTGAGAATGTAATGTGGATGATGTCAATCGCGAAGAATACAATTCTCTTATCGGCAGCTTTGGAAACGTGCGGTGACGTAAGTTAGGAGGGGAACTTATCGACGACGGCCCGAATTTCCTGCTCAATGACAGCGAAATGTCAAAAATGTTACGTCGCTGCGCTGCGATCGTTAATAAACTTAATATATTAGCAGAGAAATTAATTTTCTCTCGAGTTGCCAAGAATTTGCGATAAACAAAAAATTCATGATAAAAGAATAATCAATTACGTATTAAGAGCACAGTATACGTTTAAATCATATGTGCAATTTGGCATGTATTGAGAAAATCAGAAGGAGATCCTTCGATATTTCGAAACAACTTTTTTTTGGTTAAAAAGAAATGTAGCTCGTAAAAAAATCTCGAAACTCATCCACAACCGAATTCCTCGTTCGTTACATCGACGTTAATCTGGACATTTAAATTTAGAATGCGAATAAATCTTAATTGTTAATATATCTCATCATCTTTTATTTCAGGTTTTAAAATGCAGAATTTTATATACGCATGTGTGACGATATAAAGAATGTCAATTTTGCCTCATTGCAAAAATAGATTTGGATCACAATGCCCTCGCGACAAAAGAAGCGTGGTTTTCGATCGCCGCCGAAACATTCGACAGACGTTCGTACAATGAATATTGCATCGTACGTTTTTAATCTCGATTAATTCCTGCTGTTCGTCGAACGACAACGTGTCAGCTGCTTCGGTATCATCATCTTTCAATTTAAAGCTCTGGCGATTTGTTTAGAAAACAAAAGTTTCGAAAGTCGTCTTATCTCGCACAATATTTAGAAAGCAATTGATTTTAGACATTAATTTTTAATGATGCATAGTTAAAAAGCTATTATCTAGAGTCAAACGATACGAGGGAAAATCAACAAATAAGAGAAAATTAAGTGACTTATTATGTCAACAAGGTTTATATCGTGAACGCACGTGTATGTGTATTCCTAATCGTCACAATGTTTCCAGCTGATACATTCACCTCTCGCGACTAATATGTTTTTACGATTATTAATTCAACTTATTAAATTCAACTTATTAATATAATTCTCTTATATAAAAACATCTAATTTGCTTGCCGCAAAAAAGCGATAGTTCTCGTCGGGCCGCGAGAATGTAATCGAGAGTCCAAAATTTACGTCTCGCGCGAACTTGACCTTCATCCGTCCCCGCAAGGTATGTATATTTGGATCCAAATCAATTCAATTACATTGTTCTTTAAGAGCACCGTTCAGCCGCATTACCTTCGTCACGTTTTTAAATCGATGAGCAATAAATCACTACTGTCGCGCCTAAGAATAAGATTCCCGAACGTCGAGCCACAACATTAGACCGAGGCCTTTAACTCTGCAAGCGAGCAATAAAAACGGAAACCTTTCCTTCGTATATAAACACATGTGTGATAGTTGTCTCTTTCTCTCTCTCTCTCTCTCTCTCCCGCAAAAAAATAAGGTAATCGGTATCCATCGCTAGACCATGAGCTACCGGCGTTTTATTTTTAAATCGCACGCTGTACTCTTTTTTTCCATCTTTGTTATCGGCATTTGTTAAAATATAATAATAGTAATCTTTTTATTTCATTTTCGATTTTTTTCTCAACCTTCAAATTAAATCTAATCGTGATCATTGTCTCATCGTCTGTCTTTAAAAAGAAACGCAAACACATATACACGCCGGAAACCAGGAGACATTTGAAGTAAGATCAAAGTAACTAGGCGTGATTTCGATACCGTTGCTCAGCATTTAATTGCATCGCAACTATTCCAAATCCTCTTTTATCGATAAAAAGTGCCTTTAAAGGTAATCAATCGGTAATCAAAAGGGAACACACTACTTTTAAAGGCGCTTTCATCAGAAAAAGAGCGTTCGAAATGGATGCTTTGCATTCAGCGACACAAGTCGACACAAATCGTCGTTCTATTTTTTTTTTTTTGGCATTCGAAAAATAACAAGAACAAAAACGATATTCGTGTCAACTTATATCACGAAGTAGAAAGCACTCGATATTCGTCAAACAAGCGAGCCGCGTGCACCTACGGTTCGGCGCGGTCGCCAAGGTGAAGCGAAGCGCGGCTCCCCGGCCGCTCTCCCGGTCAAAGCCGGCGGATCCACCTTACGGCGGGAGCGATCCGATCCGTCGGCGATCGCGCCCGTGAACTACACGTGGACAAGACAAAAAAATTTCTCACTCACTTCCAACATCCACTCGGCGACGATTTTGCGCATGAGCGGCGAGATGTCCCTCTGCACGCACTCGAAGTACGACCGGCTCGGCGCGTAGCGCTCCTCCGTTTGCAGGAGATTCTGCAGGACCCGGTCATCGCCTAGGAGAGCCGGATCGGCGTACGCCCGGCACTCGGTCTCCGTGGTTTCGCAGCACAGGAGATCCATGAGGCTTGATGATGATCCGGCGAGGCTTCCCTCTCGCGTTGGTTTCCTCGCACCGCAAGGTTCCTTCAAACACGTTCCGGATAGGTTCCGTCCACGTGCTCTCTCTCTCTTTCTCTCGAAAGATCTCTGGATAAGAGAGGAAAGAGGAGAGAGAGAGAAGGGACACTCAACACCTTTTTTCACAGCGAACGAAGGCAGAACGGCTGATCACTCACCTCGCGACGAGTCGCGAAACGACGACGACAACCGACGATGACTACGCACGTACGCGTGTGTGCGTGCACGGGCCAAAGTCGCAATTGCGACGATGACTGGAAGCAAACGAGCGAGCGAGCGAGCGAAAGAGAGAGAGAGGCGTGTTCGTTCGTTCGTTCGATCAGTTTCTCACGTCCATATACATTTCTTCGGCTTTCCGGGAAGGTATCTCTCCCTCTCTCTCTCTTTGGGTCTGGAAAAAAGTCGTTGAACTCTTCTTCTTCCTCTTCGATAGGTACTTGCTTTTTCACACGTGTTATTCCGCGGATCAAAGCACAAGAAGCGTAATAAATAATACGTTTGCGAGTCGCTCGGATCCTAATAAATAAGCGTAGTGCGCGTTTTTCGGCCGGTGTCACTTAATCGTCGCGCGATTCGCGTTTGTCCAGGTCCGCGGAGCGACTAGTACGTTTCGTTTCCCGAGGGAGTCATGAGAAGAGAGAGGGAGAGAGATAGAGGAGGGTACGCGTTCCGATCAGCGCAGGAGGAAAATCGTGATTTTTCTTTTCTTTCTTGTTTTTTTTCTTTTTACAGACCGACACGAGGAACGATTTCCCTCTTTCGGAGTGCGCCGGACCTGAGTCGCCGCTCCGTCCGTCTGCCTGCGTACGATTTAAATGTCCTGCGAGATGCGAGGAGCGCGAGGATCCCTCTCCACTTTCTCACGATCCGACACTGGTGACTTATCAGGTCAGAATGCCGGCGAGTTTGGACGCGCTACTGCTCCGTAGCCGGCTCTATCCCCACTAACGCGGCGCCAGTTAGTCACGTGATTCACATCGTGTCCCCCCCACCAGCGCGGCGCCAGCGTGTCACGTGGAACGTAACTATTCCCCCACCACGGTGAGAATGGTAGAGCGGTACAGCCGTGGCGCCGGTTTGGTCTTCAGTTGAGAAACAGCGGTGCAGCGGGGTGGACGGGGGTTTAGATCGTAGTCCTCGGTGTTCGACATCTAAAAGTTCTGATTACATATGTTAAAATTCGTTTCTATGTGATATTTTTAAAAATAATATATCTAACAAGGCTTACTAGATAGGTATGCTTATTAGGAGCTTTTAATTTCAATTAACACTGTAAACTTGTTAAAAAATATTATATTATTTTAAATATTATCTATTTATTGGAGATAGTAATAATAATAATAATAATTTATTTTATATTTGCTTTATACATTAAGTATAATTTTTATTCAATAAAATGAAATAATAAAGTGTACTAGAATAAAAATATAAAGAAGAAATGATATTTGAAAATCTGAGAACATAAAAATTGAATGTAAAACAATAGAAACAATTAGGAAAAATAAAAAGAATTCGGACAAATATCGAAATTGCAAAATTTCTATTTTGAAATTTTCGCACTTTGAGATTTTATTCATAAAAGGAAAGATGTAAAAAGAGAAAACTTGCTATTTTTTTACGTAATATGTTTCTAAAATATGACGACTAATGATGACAGACCAATAATAATCACAGAACAACTGGAATCACCTACATTTCTCATATCACAATTATCTATATTTTTTTTAATTATGTAATTCGATTTCGTATTTTTAATATTCTCGTAAAAAATCGACAAAACAAGAAAATTTTTCTTTGTATTATAATATAAAGAAATCTTGAATATTTGAAAATATCAAATCTCATATAGTCAAAAATTGTTATTTATCTCTTAAAAATCTTACAAGAAACATTAAAATTTTCACAATCGATTCATGATCATATTTTGTGATTCAAGAACAATATTGTCGAATTCTAAAGTAGAAATATTCGCAAAATTATGCGTTTTCTTCGTGAGAAAGTTAAATATCGTATTTTTTAACTCTCTCTCTCTCTC